TTGAGAGATAATAACTGACTTTTTAATAATAATAATGTTTTGTAACACATTTTGTACACAACAGTAGATCGACGACTAGTTTTAAAGTTTGAGAAACTAATTTCCAAACAAACAAAGTCATAAAAACATAACACATTTTGTTGTTTATTATTTTGCATATAAATTATAGGATTGGCGACAAATACACGACTGATATCTAATTGTAAATGAAATATTTTGAATGTGTTTTTTGATATTTATGTCAAAATTGAGATTATATTTAAACTGTTAAACGAATAAATTGGTTTATTTATCAATAAAAACATAGTTCTCAACATTTATTATTAAGTATTCATAAATTTATATATCATATTAAAGCCAAATGACTTTAATATAAACATAATTAAGCTCTAAATAGGAAAACAATTTCTATATCTTATTTATTAAGTTATAATCAAAATCACCATAAATTTTATTATATCTAATGCATATTCAATAACAATTTGTGTAATTCTCATAGACTATATTCGGTTTAGGTCTACTAAATGCAAACAAATTGATAATTAAATCATTGCATTTACAGATGTAACTTGGCCAAATAACACAATTAATATTTTGTGTGACAGCGACATTGAAACAGCTAATAATAAATAATAAATATTAAACTTAAAACTTTCATTTGCATTTATTAATTATTTCTTAAAAATATCAATAACAAAACTATTAAAATGCTAAATTCTTTCTAATGGGCTTAAAATGTTTTAAAAATGTGTTTTCGATAATTACTTTAAAATTTCCAATTAATGCGAATTTTATTATTTATAAAGTAATGAATAAATAAAAACAAGAAAATACACTTATAATTATTGTTTAAAAAACAACATTTAGTAAAAAAAAGTAAATTATGATTTGTGTTGAATCGATGTCATAATTAATAGGTAACGAATTGAGATCATAATTAGGTGATTGAGTGTCATATAATCTAATTAATAGAGGTTTTTGCGTGACTTTATATTTCTCGCTAATTATCTTTTGGAAAAAGCTTTCTTTGGGGCGATTTTTTGCCTCAAATATTAGGAATTTATACTTCTTTTTGCCTTCAATTCACTAAAAGTAGATTTTTAATAGTTTTTCATAACAGTTAGCCATCGGTTTCCACTCACACCTGGCTTTGCATTTGTAGTCCTCTCTCTGTGTTCGGCATATATTGTAGTCAATTATACGTCAGTTTTTGTAATCATTTTGTGTTATCTGTTGTACTAAAGAGCAAAACGTGCGACTCTTCTCACTCTTAGGGCTCGTAATTAGTAATAAGTTTTTTGAGGGATGAGATGTGTTTTGCCATCGGATTTGATTCACAATGTTTTACGAATCGTAACAAACATTAAAACAGACATTATATCTGAGAAGTGATGTAATGTATTGTAGAGATAAGTTTATATAATTCATAATTCGTTTGTACAATATTTATAATGTTATTTGAGAGCAATTGTATGTAATTATATGCTAAATAATGAGTCGATGGGAAAGCACTCGAGGGCCACATATTCTCGGCATTTTCTTCTCCTTTCCTTAAACATGAAATATAATTCATTTTTAAGATTTAATGCCAACACAAACATAACGTCAAATAGAAATTTGTATATAAACTGTGGGTTCGGTTCACTACTAATAACTAATAAGTTATTACTTTTAACATAATATTCAAATGAAAAAACATTTTGCGTTCAAAACATTTTTATGAGTGTTTCGGAGTTAAATGAGTGCATAAATTAGGATTGAATTCTCCTCTCATTAGAAATGGTGTGTTATTTGAGAGCATTATTTGATTTATAACGTGAAATAACATCTGTATGAAAGACTATGAAGTAATAACATTAATAATCACATAATGTTTTAAGTCCAGCGCTTTATGTATTGCTTTTATCTTAAATACATGCTATGGATAGTGTTTTTGTATATTTTATACATACTATACACCTCTCTATCTCTCTAACCGAGCGCTTTAGGGCTCCGGTATAACAGTGTTATAGAAAAGTGACGTTTCAATTATCTTATAGATTAGATTCACAAGATATGAGACCATTAACTGATTATTCAATTGCCTTCCTATGCCTTCCGATACCTCCTCTACAGACCCTTCACTAACCTATGCATGAAATCCGCTTCAAAATCAACTGTTTATTTGTCTGTAAATTGTTGTAAAAACATTTTATCTGTTTTAGAGACAATTAAATTTTCAATGCATTGGAATTTAGGTGGAAATTGATTTTAAATTATTAAAATTTTATTCAATTATTTAGATTTCTAATTACAAAAATGTTTAGGTTATAGCTTTTATCGCAATAATTTATTTTCTAAATAGTTTTATTTTAATTAAATTTATAAACAATTTAAAGTGAAACATAAATAGGATATAGATATGAAATAAATGATAACATTAATAGTTAATAATATCAATAATTTATAGGATTAAAACCACAACAGAAGGAAATTTATTTAATTGCTAGTTTATAAATGAAATCAATTAAAAATAATTTCATTTTATGTGTCAAACAAAATTGAAGTAAATATCTATAAATGCAATAATAATAACAACAATAATAATAGTGTATAGAGTTTATCAAAGATTTAATTATGTTTTAATTAATAAATCATGCGATAGAAAAATGATTAAAATGTTGTTTAATATAAACGCTATTATTATTAATTGACTTCAATCTGTAGATGACGTAAATTGTTATCTAATTTTATCACTAATTAACTAATTAGTCAATAATTCTTGGGCTTTGAAATAACTTGCTATTTGTTAGACCTATTTTGCTAACTATTTTACTTACAATATAGAAACTACTGTATTATTAAATTCAATGAATTGTTTTGTGTTTTTATCTATTGATAAAAGTGATTGCAAAACATTTTTGCCAATTATTTAATTTACTTCCAAAAGAATATAATGATAGAGAAAATCAAATTCATTTCAATTGACTTTCATCTTCTCCTTCTTTGGCGCAAAAAAGCGATAGAAAAGGTATTTTATATGAAAAATAAATTAAAGGGAAAGTGAAGTGCCTTTTAAATAGTAGTTAAATAATGATGAATATTGTATTCAACATTTATATGTGTGCTGTATATATGTGTTGACCCCAAACACTATGAACGGCACAATAGGATGAGCAGTGAATTTTTTGCGGCATCTCTTTGTAAGAAATAAGTTTGTGAGTTAGCCCTGAGCTTCACAACACCTTTTACTATACCTGAAGTCCACATAACTTTAATTACTATTAATATAAAGACTCATTCTCTAAGTCTCTCCGCAATATCCCATTGAATTAATTCACTATTTCTTAACTATCTTTTGGTTCCACTTATAAATTGTGAACAAATGATAAGTCCTTAAAGAAAAAACAAAGAAAAGCGATAGAATGTAATATAACATAGAGTGTTGTTATGTGTTTTTACAGCACTAAAAATATCCATTCAAACTAACAGAATATTGTTTTAAAACAATAACCGCTGGTATATAACAAACTTTTATTTCTGAATTTAAATTAATATTTAAACAAAAATCTAAAACATCCATAATTTACTTTACGAACTATTATTTTCATCTTGCTGTATATCCTATAAATGCTTAATTTAACAAGATTTCAATTTTTACTTTTAATATGATTGATCTGTTGGCTGAAACATAGCTTGAGCCTACAGTTCAAATTACATTTTGCTTTATTTGTTTTTAAAATAATAACTTTAAATAATTTCAAATTAGTTTGCAATCAATAATATTATAGTTTTATTGGTATACTTTAGACAACAAATTGATTTCTTATAAACATAATTGAATTTATAGTTAATTTTGCTAAATATACAGTTATTGGAAAGAAAATGAAATAACATTTGTAATGAATATTTATATATATTTTTGACAAATATTTTAGGAAAACATTAAAATTAATTACTACTTCTAAAGATTTAACTTTTATTACATTATACGATAACACAGTATAGTATAAATATTTTTGGTTTTTGCCATATTGTGAGTCCATAGAGAATTAATTCAGGTAAATATGTATAATAATTGATTTTCAAAAGTCTTTATTACTATTTAGTGATATGTTTTCAAAACTATACATGCATTCAATACATACAATATAAACATTTACAGGAATTATATTTATAGAAAATATAATCGAAATTATATGAAACGCTTCGTAAAAGAGTAATGAATTTGTAATAACTTTAAGTTTTTAAATAATTTATTAGTTGACTATCTCTTGTCAATGTCAATTTAATCAAATTTATTGTCAAAATTAACATTAAAATCGATTATATTTCTTACTGTGTTTTATTGTTGAAAAGTATTTGTATTTTATGAAAATTGTTACTTTTATTAAACGGTATTTTAGACGAAATAATTGTTTTATTGTTATGAATATAGGAGTGAAAGTATATTTATTTAATCAGTGATTATAATAATAATTTGCATTTTGGTTTCTAATGTGATGTGTGTTTGTTATGCGAAAAACAATAATTGATTTGAAAAAAGCAGAGTATAGTCTGAGTTAATCTTTTTGGTTAATCATGTAATGAATGCTCATTAAAATGATTCATTATTCCTATTATTTATTCATAAAATGAATACTCTTTCAGCAAAATTATGTACAAAATATTAATTGTGATTACTTTTCGTGTTTTATGTATAATATATACAACCATATCGTAAGTGATTTGAAAACATTAAATGCAGCCAAATATCAAGAAAACTACTGTTTTTATGCGAAATGACTTTTTCGCGCGATATATACGAAAATTCATTGAAAATTGATCTCAAAATTGAAGAATTTATTGCAAAAAAAGGAAATCTAATAATAATTCAGACAATGATTTGTTGATTGGAATGAAATTAAAACCGTTTCCATAGATTTCATACCTCTATGTACTTCACATATAATAATATATTTGAATAATTAATAAAGTATTGCTTCACTTATTATATAAATAGTGAGCAAAACATTTGGTGCCGTAAATGACATTATAAATTAGGAACGTATTCTCGTATTGCATTCAAAACCATAGTTTCGCTCAAATAAAGCATTCAAATATATTTTCATATTTGCAGACAATTAGCGCAGAGTTTCAGCGGAGGCCAGCCTTTTGGTGTTGGTGTAGGACTGCAGCCAAATCTGCTTTCTTCATAAGACTCAAGTCTTGGATATCCATTAGACTCTTGTGGACGGGTATGAGTTTAGCCGCGTCCACGTCTTTCTTCAACTCCTCCATATCTCTCTTCAATTTTGCCCTTCGGTTCTGAAACCTATTCAATCAAATTCATTGTTAATTAATTGTTAATTTCACATTTTATCTCTATTTAGAGATTCTTCACTTAAAAACTAATATTTTTAAACAAAGTTATGCTAATGTAAAAGAATGGCTTACCATGTGATCACTTGAGCGTTGGTCAGGCCTAATGTCTGCGCGATTTCGTCCCTATCGGCGGGCGATAAATACTTTTGATACAGAAATCGTTTTTCTAATTCAAATATTTGGTGATTAGTAAAGGCTGTCCGCGATTTGCGCTTCTTCTTCGACTGATTGCTTCTATTGCTAAACAGATTCAAGTGATCCGCAGAAGTGTCTGAAATCATATGAAATTACATATAATTAGATATTTTAAAACCAATTATATATGTTTTGAATTCAAACTACAGTTCAATGAATTTAGATTAACACAAAAATGTTTGTAAACATATTATGTAAGTCTTAATGCCATTCAGTAATATTATTGAATTGCCATTTCGTATTGAAATTAAATGGGAATTAATTTGTTTTTAAAAGTAATAAAAATCTAAAATTACTTCAAATAAATAATATATTTATTAGAAATTATTGACACTATTGTATAAATTTATAATATATTTAAATTTCTTATTCAATATATTTTGTAAAATTATCAAATTTATAGTAAATAATCGATTAAATCAATTGAATTGCAATCAAATGGTAAATTGTGTTCAAATGGTTTTGCCTCCAGATATGTCTTAAAATATGGCATAATTTATATGAAATTACTTTTGAGAAAGAAATAAGTGCTTTAAATGCTATGAGTTTAGCGAATGCTTACAATCCTTGTTAACATAAATTAATAACAAGTGATCTGAGAATTTCAATGAATAATTACCATATATTAAGTTTAAGGACAAACAATAATTTTCTTTCTAACTCATCGACGTTTATAAATCATTAACTGAAATAAACCGACACTTTATTCGCATATCTTTGAATTATTTAAATGTTTGCTTTCTGTATGTAATTATAATTAATCAAAATTATAAATCAGGCGAACATTTATATAATTTGAGCTTCAATTGGAGCCAAACTCTTATATAAAGCATATTATATAACTATTTTGGATGTAATGATAGGAGAATGAAATGCGATATAAAAACATAGAATTTATTTTAATTAAATAATTATGTTTTGTTTGAAATGCTTTTGCATTACTATAAAAATTTTAGCTCATTTAACGATCATTTAATATTAGTAATTTATATGTAAATGAAAACCTACTGATTTAAATAGCAAATCGATTGATTGATTGGCAACTAATTTGAAGTATTTGTGCCGAAAAAATGTATCGTTTATAATATGTGTTGACAAAAGTAAAATTGATTTCAACAATCATTTGGGAACCGAGTATTGAAATTATGTGTTACTTTGTGTTCCCGTTTTAAACAACAACAACAATAATAGTGATTGTATTTCTAACAGATCTAACAATTTATAACATTCAGTACATATAATATGAGATGAATTAAATAACGCCACCCATGGATGCGATGGATGGTATCGGAAAAGTATGAATTAAAGTGATGGTCATTTTGTCATATCTGACAATTGGTTGGCAATTGGTCTCCAACGAGATTCAGTGCATTCTGTGCCACAGTTTGCCACAACAAACGGTGCCGGCGCTGGCAATTAGCTACACCTCTGAGAGACCCTTCGCTGTGCCCCGGGATATGAAAATCAAAACGCCTAGTGTTTCAATATTTTATGAAATATTTTTTATGTATTATTATATTAAGCAAAAGGTATTTTTTGAGAACCACTTCTTTTCTTGTCTCAGTTTCATTTCGTTGCAAATATATGGCCGCCCGTCCCGTCCGCCCGCCCTCTCTCTCACACACATCTCATGTCATAAATAGTTTAAGTCTTTTTTGTATTCGTTTCAGAAAAAACTTTCAATAATTATTGATAACAACACTGTCTTCGAGCCGTCAATTGAAAATGAATTGATAATAAGATTTCGTTTAAAAAATGAATACAAAATCATTACAATTATCCCATTTCTCAACTCTTTTGCTGTAATATAAGGTTTAGACCAGTCTTTCAAAACCAATCACTTTATTCAGTGAAATATAATTATCTTTCAAAGCTTACAAAAGAATCGATTGGTTTTATAATTATATATTTTGGTAAATCTATTATATTTTAAAACACATTTTGATAATTAAAAAGTTAAATGACTATTTTTACATCTAAATTATTAATGATTTTATAATCCCTATAATCTTAAAGAAATTCGTGAGTTATTTAACAAAACATGTGATTTCAAGCAATAGATAAACTAAACATCAATTAATTAATTACATGCGAGATCTAAACGCAATCAAATCTGTTGTTGAGGTTTTTTGGTTAAAATTAATTCAGATTACCTTATAATTGAAATTTTGAAAAATGCTTTCAAATGTTATCAGATTTTTTAGACATTGCATAAAAAGTGGAGTAAAAGTTTGCCTCTAATTTAATAATTATATAAAATTATAATTCAAAGCTCTGTTACTGTCAAACCTCTCGAATCAAACGAGTGGCAGAAAAAATGGGAAAATTTTGGGAAAAAAGTTTTGTAACATTTTGTGTTCACACAATGTGTTGACGAATTGATTTTTTGTGTGTCTGTTTTGTGTCTCGATTTACTTATTGGTCAATATTTCAAATCATATTATATTTAATGGCATATATTTGTTGTGTATATATTTTTTATTTCATTTCCTTCTCAAATAAACGACACTATAATTTGTTGACTAAACACCGGCTGTCAGAATGAATGATCGAAACACAACACTAAATGCAATGCAATGGGAGATTGTATTATATATTAGACATTAAACTATAATATTCTGTATATTGTGCTAAAAAGTCACCAAATGTTGTATTGTTGAGCCAATCGAGAGGTAGAGACAACGGCAACGACGCATTGGGTGGCAGAACATGCCTTTCCACACCATTTTCCCTACCATTCATACCATTGCTATAATTTCTAGTTTTTTTGTTTCTCCACAGATATTACACTATTATTACAATTTCTGTTATCATTTAGTTTATCAAAACTAATACAACAACGCATAGCGTGAAGAATTCACTCGTATATACATATGTATGTATTCCTGGCGTAGTGTTAGCCGAGACGCTAAAGCCCGCAAAAGTTGTGCTTAAGTTTTTGTTAACTTAAGGCAATATTACTATCAACTTATTATCGTCATTATCCACATTATCCGATGCCAACAAAGACTAACTTAAAGGTAGTGTTTGTGTAAAATTAATAAACGAGTGGTGAGATTGACAAATGCCAGCCCTATTGCCAACGCTCTGAGGCTTAGAGTTGGAGTGACTCCGAGAATGGAGTGAAAAAGCATAACATTTTGCAAATTCTAAACAAACAGAATCCAGAATTAATGCTTCAATTTTGTTGAGCAAACCTTTCTCTTACTTTCTCTCACTTTCTCTCACTTTCTCTCACTTTCTCACCTCATTTCCAGTTTTCAATAACAACTCAAAGATTGATATTTTGCTTACAATAGACGCCAAAATGGCATTAATTTCCAAATAAAAACCCAAAAATACTTTAAGGCCGTTATGTTTGAGTTATATTTTTATTGAAAGACCAAAAGTTAATTGCATTTGATTTATAGAGTAAATGAGAGAAATAAGCCAAATTAGAGGACACATATACTGTACTGTATATATTGCGGTCCAATCATAAGCTAATTATTTTGTTGTCTATAATGGCTTTCAATTTATTACACCATTAAAAGTATTTATTAACCAAAAAAGTCAAGTTTTGAGTGCATTGGAAACCATTCACTCCAACGTTAAGCACAATGAAAGCTAATTGTAAACCAAAAGACATACTGTATTTTCCCTGTTTTTGTTGATCATATGTCTGATTAAATTCAATTTTCAAAACAATTTTCATATAATTGATTGCAATTTGATTGCATACCAAATAAATTATAGGCTCTTTTGATTTCAAGTCACTCTCCTTATTAACATTTATTATTTTTTGAGCCAAACATATCATTGATCGTCTCAATTGCTTACTATATTGTATATACTTTTTATAATTAAATCAAATTAATTTTCAAACAAAAAATTTCTTTCAAACAAACCGTTCAAACGGACAAATTGTTTGTTGTGTACATACATTGTATAAGATATCAGTTATGATATAATCATAGCGTAGAGTACTGTATAAGTACTTTATATCAATAAATGAAAGGAGACATTGCTGTCAAACAATACACTAAATTAGTGAATAAGACAGGAATTAATGAAAATATATGCAAAATTATTGAAAAAACAAAACTTTTCTTCTGGTAGTGAATAATAAGCGTATAATTGAATTGAATTGAATGTACTGTTTATACGATGAGATGAAATGATAGCTCTATTTGAATGACACGCAAACCTATAACTCATATTTTTTTCACTCAAACGATAGTTGATTTGATTTTTGCAAATGTAATGCAATGTTGTTATACAAGCGGTTATATAAATGTTATCTGCGAAAAAAATATGGCAAGAAATGGGAGTGCAATACAAATAAGTTGGAGAACTGTTTTTGTATTGAATTATGGTCTACAACACGAATACCATAGTATTATCGCATATAATAAATATAATAACACTATAATGTAGACCAATGGAAATTATATTAAATAAATTACATGAAAAATTAGTTTATTATCGAGAGTTAGTGTATGTGTTTTGTTAGTGTTGTAAAATCACGCCAAACCTAAACCGTATACCCAAAACAGCTTACACCACATTATTGACTGAATTTATTATAAAATGATTGCTATAATTGGGGATCGAGTCGAGAGGTGAACAAGAATTTAAGATTAAAATATCAAAAATTTATTAGAAAATGAAGAGAAGTCTTCACCGGTCTCTCAATCAGCCAACAAAATATATACACATCTATTCAAGCCTTGAGACCAGACATGAGAGCCAACACAACAACTCATCAATTATTAAAATTGTAATCAGTTTTAATGCCTGTTTCCCATGCTATCAGTGCTATCAATACTATCATAATATAATTATTTAAGTGAAAAAACAATTTGAATTTCAGTTCTTATTACTAAAGGCACCGAAAGTGGCAAAAATTATAACCAAGAAAAAACTCATTTAATATGATTCACGTTAAACGTGTATTTATAGACAAATTAACAAATTAATTAAATTAATATATTATGTATATTTGTTATGCAATTTTTATTATTTATATCCAACATATTCTTGTTATCTGTTAATTAGGCACTCAATAAAATATAACAAAATATCAATACATAATAATTTGCATAAAATTC